GGGGGCACGCGGTCGAAGTTCTTCCCCAGCATCCTTCGCATGTGCTTGCGGGCGTGAGAGGTCATCTGGTGCTTGAGGAGGAAGGAGAACTGGCAGCCTTCGCGGATACAGTGGAAGTGGCTGTTTACCTGGTTGTACTTGCAGCCTGCGGACACAGCAGGCCCAGCCATGAGTTGCCATGCTGGCCTGGGCTCACGGGGCACCTGCTGGACAGCGGCTATGGCCTGGGCTAAGGGGACAGGGACTGGCCAGGCAGATGGTGTCTGCACAAAGACGCTTGCCCCATGACAATGCTAAGAGTTAATTCATTCAGCTGCTAATCAAAAGGCTGGAGGTTGGAATCAACCCAGAGACACCTCAGAAGAAAGGCGTGGCCGTCTCACACTGAACATCTTATGAAGCACAATTCTCCTCTGACACACTTGGGATTGCCATGAGCCGCTGTCAACTCAGTGGCGGCTGGTTGGCGCTCACCTGGCTGTACCCTCTCTGTCTACCCAGAAATCCAAGGCCGCGTGGCTCTCTAGAACCCGGGCCTTCTCTTTGGCCCAGCATGGACGCACGTGGCATTGGCTGGTCCCTGTCCCCAGCGCCATGCTCTGAAAGGCGCACAGGCTCTAGGGTCAAGGGGCCCGAATGGACCCTGCTCATTGGATCAGCCACACTGTGACAAAGCCCTGTCCCCACAGCTCCTTCAAGGAGCCCAGGAGGCCGCCCCCACCCGGTTCCACCCTCTTCTGCTTTGCCCCAGCAATGAGAACACACAGAGCAGCCAGGATTGAAACTATCAGCAGAGGGCAGGTGAAGGCCTGCCCGTTGCCATGGTGTCTGGGCTGGCCAAGTATCTGGTATCAGCCCCCAGCTTTGTTCGCCCCAGCTACCACCCCAAACACCCAAAGTTGAGTAAATATCAGCGACTGCAGAACACCCCGGCATCTGTAAGCCAAGCCCAGGGACGGTGGAGGCTGCAGGTGTTGACGCCTGTTGCCACGGTTACCCACCCTTGCCCCTGCCACAAATTCTTTTTAAATTAATACTTGAAAGTTTGTTTCTCTTTTGGCCATTAACTTTGAGTCTTTCACTCTACTGCAGTCCAAGGGCCTGTCCGCCTGGGCAGTGTCCCCTGCTCCCCCAGGACCCTGCTTCCATGGCCACCTGTGTCACAACAGGCCCTCAGCCCATGTGTTGCCAGCCTGCCGCTGCCTGCCCGCCTCCCACCTGCCCTCCAGTCTCCAGTCTATTCCTGGGAGAGTCTGCAGGTCCATGAACAGATGGTTCTGTCCGCAGTCGACCTGCGGGCCTGGGGACCTGGACTGGCAGTTTCCCCATGGCGGGCTCAGCAGGGAGGGCCTGTCCAGGGTCCTGGGGCGGGGGCAGCTCAGATTGCAGCAACACAGCTAACGCCTTGGCACCTGCTGCTGACCTTAGGACAAGTGGTCTCCTCTCCCTCCCACGTCTGGACACGTCAGACGCTCTAGGCCAGGATGTGCTGGATTGTTCTACCCCCAGCCCCGAGCACGAGCCCAACCGACCGCAGGCCTTCCCTACCACCTCCCCTGCAACAGCTCAGGGCCCAGCTTCCAGAGAACACTGCCTTTCAATAAACATCTCCTGAGTGAATGACTAAACGAATAAAATGTGACCCACATCAGGCAACCATCTTGTAATTTAAGCCGTGGAAAAGAATTCCAAATGTTAAAAAACCCAACTCCACCACTGTTGCCGGTTTCTGATTCATGGCAACAGAGCAGAACTGCCCCCAGCGGTCCGCAGGGCTGCAGAATCTTTACAGAAGCGGACGCCGCCGCCTCCTACAGAGGCGCTGGTGGGTTTGAACCGCTGCCTCTTTCAGTTAGGATCCCAATGCTTAGCCTGCCAAACCACTAAGTTGGAAGCGACTCTTATCTGGCCCACCAGCAGGTTTTCAGAAGCTGTATGTTGCCCAGGAGGTGACTTCACATCTTTCTCCTGCAGAGCAGGAGGTGGATTTGAACTGCTTGCCTTTGGGTTGGCGGCACAACTCTTTATCACCAGGCACTGAAATTATCTAGGAAGTCCTCAGGTCTTAGAAAGATATGAAAACAAAAGACCAAGCCGGCCCCTGGACGCTGATGCAGGAGGCCCCAGGTGCTACCCGTGGAGGGAGGTGGGTCACCCTCGCCACTGTTCCCAGGGTTGTCTGTCTGGAATGTTGCCTGTTGCACTGTTGCGCTGAGGCCTGGCTCATGATCCGCGTGGCATGTTTAGTAAAATGTGGCCCGTGATGTGAAGGGATAGCACGTGGGTACCAGCAGCAGTGGCCAGAGGCCCAGCCCTGCCACCTGTGGGCAGCCCGCCCGCAGCCCCACTGTTGTTACCTAGCCTGCCGCACTCCTCACGCTTGGTGAAGTACTTGAACCCATTGGCTGCCCGCCGCTCAGCCTTCTCGTGCTTCTTTATATGCCATGGCAGCTTGGTGGTGATGTTGGTCACGAAGTAGCAGCCACTGCGGAGACAGTGGTAGTGTCCACGCATCCGGAACTCGCAGTGCTGCGTGCGGGGAGGGGACAGGGGTCAGCATCTGCTTGAGCGCCTGCCCCGGCTCTGGGCCGTGCAGAGCCCCAGCTCTTCCAAGCTCGGGATCAGAAAATCGTGCAAAGCCCTTTCCCATGTTAAATAAAAAATATACCCCCTTGGTCATTTGTACATGCTGTCCTACCTGGTGTGTGTCCCACCCCTGTCAAGCCCACTCCCACAGCAGACATCACCAATCAATCCTTGCACGGATCTCTGTACATCCAGACCTAGGCTCAGCTCTTAGACTATGCTCTGCTGGTGGCTCCTGCCAGTCGGGAGAAGGCCTTTAATATGAAGGATCTGCCTTTCCCGTTTGGAGTGTGGACAGTGCAATCTCTTTAGCTGCCCAATGAGCCTGTTTTACAATTCTAGGTCCCTCAGAGGCACAGTCTGTAGAGAACTATGCTGCTGACTCCAAGGTGGCGCCTTTCTGGTGTTCAAATCACCAGCGGCTTCTTGGGAGGAGGAGGAGCAGTCTCCTCCCATGTGATTTATGGCTTTGGAGACGCCCTGGAGGGTCAGCTATGAGTTGGTTGTGATGCAACAGCAATGAGGAGGCCTCTGAAGGAGATGGCACTAGTGCCAGGATGGGCAAGCATGGTGATGCCAAGTGAACCACAGCAGACCAGCACTGAGTCCCCAGTGAGATTGAGGATGGCAAGACAGACTCAGAACTAATCTGGATGGCTGCCCAGGGACCTTCAGGGGTCCAGGGCCAGACGGTGGCCTTTCCATCAGAGTCTGATGGAGGCCAACTAAGAAAGAGCTTCCTTCCCCTAGGCCCGTGCCACCCGTCCACCAGCCCGCTGCCCTGCTCACTGCGCTGACCTGATTGGGGCAGAGACACTGCAGGGAGTAGTAAGCAAACTGGTCTCGCACGTTCACCAGGTTGTTGTTGGGGTTGATGTGGTCCAGGCAATGGGACTCGGCCTTGCCAGAGGTCTTGCACACGTACTTGCAGTTCCCGAAGAGACAGTGGAAGTGGAACTTGTTGGCATACTTGCAGTCCGTCGCAAGACAGGGATCGCTGGAATGAAACCATAGCCCAGACGGTCACTGGCATCCCCACAGCCCTCCCTTCCAGCGTCCTGACTGTGCTCACTGGGGTCAGTTCCTCAGTCACCAGAGGTGTCCTCAGAACCGGCAGACCCAGACCCGCCCTTCCTGCCCAGCAGCACGCCTCAGGAGAAGAGACTACAGATCCCAGCATGCATTCCTGCACGGGGTAGGAGCCCTGCCTGGTGCAAGAGGAGTTCAATGTGCAGGCTGCCCAGAGCGGTGCATGCTGGGACACGCAGTTCCCACGACCACACCTCAGGATTACAGATAAGGATGGCAGCAGTGACTTCTTGGATATGGAAATGAGGGATAGTGTGCCAGCCCTTGGCAAGATGCCAGTGAAGGCCTGGCTGGCATGGCCTGGGCACTGCCTTGGATATGATGGACAGGCTGCAGATGGGTGGGTGGCCCTACTGGAACTCTTGCCCCTACAGGACCTTGGCAGGTGGGGACCCATGGCTGTGTCAGGGCCTGCTGCAGCTTACAGCTACTGGGGCTCCCCAGGGTCGGCTCCTGGGGATGCAGGGAGGAAGGGGGGGTGTCGGGCCCAGCTCCTACACCTTGACCTCTCCAGAAGCCTCAGAGGAGGTGAGGCTGGAGGTAGCTGGGCTCCTCATCCAGACTGGGCTTCCAGCACTGCCCTCCCCTACAGCAGACCTGAGCCGGGGGCTCCAGCCACATCCAGGACACTAAGGGGACTGTCATTTTGGGCAGCGACCAGGGAAGGGCTGACGGACAGAGGTGAAGGAGGAGGATCCCGTCCACGCTGGGGGCCCAGCTCCAGGTGCTCAGAGAGGGAGGACAGCTGCCACTCAGGTGGTGTGTGTTCACATCCAATTTATTACTTTTATTGAGAACAAGAAGCCGAGGTGCACACATTATGATACAAAGTCACCATTCTTGTCGCAAGGAGCCACCACCAACCAGCGAGCAAGGTCCCTTCCACCCCTGAGCTCGCTGAGCACTGTGAGGGGGTGAACCTAGGCCCTCACCCCACCCATGGCTTTGTGCACCCTGCAGAGACCCAGCCATGGGGGGACAGCCACTGTGGGGCCATTGGGGGGGGTGCCCAGAGTGAGCCTGGGGTCTCCACGCTGGGTGAGGAAGCCTCATCCTCTGAGGAACACCTCTCAGGCTGGCCCTGGCTGGTTCGCCCACTGCCTGGCACTGTGGTCACGACCACCACCATCCCCCTCGGCCCTTGGCAGCCCCTGGCCTGCTCCAAGGATGGGCACTGAGGTCTGAGCGAATGGCCATGTTCCTGGGAGGCCGGGGATAGCCAGCACTACTCTGCAGGGTGAGGGGCAGGCCCTTTCGGCTGCTCCCACTAGCACCTATGCCCGAGACAACGCGGGGGACACGGGGCTCCCGGCTCATCGAGGGACTCACTTCTCCTGGAACTGGAGGAATCCGGGTTTGACCTGGGGCTTGGCGTTTTCTAGAGAAGTCGTTGCCATGGGTGAAGCGGGCAGGTGAGGCACTGATGCTGGGATCTGAGGCATCTGGGGGATGGTGGAAGCCAGCTGCTTCCAGGCGAGGAGAGTGGGGGTGGAGGGCACAGAGGCCGGGCTGGGGGCTGGTCCCTCCAGGGAGGGCGCCGTGGCCGTGCTCACGGGAGGTGCTGGCGGGGACGAGGGGGCCAGGCAGGGTTTGGCCTCAGTGGCTGAGGTGGGGAAGGCAGGCTCCGGGTTTCCTTTCACAGCTCCTCCCTCTGTCCGGAAGTGGAAACTGTGAGAGGCAGAGATGGGGTCTCAGGTGGGACAGTCAAGAGGGCCTGAGCATGGAGGTCTTGGGACAACCCTGTCACAAGCTAAGGGGGAGCATCTCTACCATCCAGACACTGGGCCCCAGACGTTTTCTGTGGCGCTGCCCAGAGGAGATAGTCACGTCCCAGGCCTTGATTGGTCATCTAGGGCCCAACTACATTATCCTGAGTGCCCTTCCTCGAGGTGCCTGTCCCAGCTCTCCAGCTGTCCCTCCCTTCTGAACCTGCTGACGCTTTGAACATGGGACTCCACTTCTGGAGCAGCCAGGAGCCTCAACTGGGAGCAGAGCGGCCTAGAGCTCAGGAGCAAGGGGGTGGGTGCCTCCAACATTCCCAGATTCTGTGCAATGACAGGGATGCTGTGCTGGGCTCGTTGCTTTCTAACTAGATGGGTCATATCAATCAATTTCTAAGAAGGTAACATCACGGCTAGCGTGTTCACTTAGAAGTCTGCACCGGCCCCCCGCTGGCCTCGGGGCCTTCAAGGCTGACTCTACTGGGAGGGTTAGAAGCTGTGGCTGATGGTGGCGCCAGGTCTGGGGACATGGCAGCTGGGCCCGGGCCCTCAGATGGACCTGTGCAGGAGCTGAGCAAGTGAGAGAGCCGGGCAGCTTCTCTGAGAAGCCCACTGGGCTCTGTGGTCCAGGGGGAGCCACACATGGGTCATGTAGTGTAGCTAAGAGATCTGCAGCACCCTGCCCATCCCCACTAGCCAGCTTCTGGGGCCCACCCCACCCCAGGACCCCTGCTCACTTGGCGTGCTTGATGGCCCCGTCCAGGGTGCTGAACAGGGCACCGCACTCCTCCACCACACAGTGGAAGTGGGCCTTGTGCAGGAAGTCACACTGCGCGTTGCAGAAGTCCTTGGTGCCAAACCTGCAGGAGGAGCGGCTACTTAGAGGGAACGTGGGGCTGGGGGAGCTGGAGCCCGCCTCCTGACCTCTCCCTCCGGTTGCACCCTCACCTGCGCAGGTACACCTTCCAGGGCTCTGCCAGCTGCTCATGGACCAGGGCCTTCACGGCCCTGCCCAGGAAGGGCGAGGCCTCTGTGGCAGGGCTGCCCTCGGCCTCTGTCTTGGTGTTCAGCAGGCTGCCCAGGCTGGGATTGCCCTGAGACATCTGTGGGAAGATGTGAGGCCATGCTGGGGCTAGGGCATTCGGGGAAGGAGGCAGACCCCAGTTCCATGGCTGACCCCTTGTGACTCTGGCTATAGTACTGCCTTCTCTGAATGGCCTTGGCCAGGGACCTGCAGATGCCAGACCCCTGCAGGTGCCATCCCAGGCAGAGGCCCCAGCTCACGGAGCTCCTTCGGCCCATCTTTCCTTAGACTTAGCGGCTCCCTGGTTATTTTCCTGCCAGAAGGTTTTCAAAAGAAGTGAAAGAGGAGGTGGGGCTGGGGGGAACCCCTACGAATTCCTTGAGAACAGAGAAGGCACACAAAAGAGCAGAGAGGGCGGGCGAGGCTGGGGTGGAGGAATCAAGACAGGCTGCTGCTGGAGTGGGAGGCGGGAGGGGAGTCAGCATGAGATGCAACCTCCTCGGGGTGCCAGGTGCTGCCCGGCAGGAGTGAGGGGTGCAGGGGGCAGTGACCAGAGATGGGGAAAGGCGAGCCCAAGACAGCAAGTAAGAGTGGGTGAGAGCGCTGAGGGGCTTCGGGCCTAGGGAGAGGGTGGCCGACAGTCACTTGTATGCAGTAACCAAATTAATCTTGCTGTAGTCAAATTCATCATGTGAAGGGGGGGAAATATATTTGAGATGATGTATAATTTACAAAGACCCTGCATTATTTAAAATAAATATTCTAGCTCGACCTCTCCGGAAGACGTCCGAGGCCATTACTCACCCCGAAAAGTGGAAATTGATGCTTGGCTCCCACTTTCGCCCCTCCCCCCCGAAACAAACAAACAAACATACAAAGATAGGAAATAAATAAGTAGCATTAATAAGGACGAGTGGAAGAAGTTGGAGGGCCCCGCAAAAGCTTTTGAGCCCTCCTTTCTAAGGTTGGTGGGGAGTGTGTGTGTTGGGGGGGGGAGGTGTCAGAGTCTGGAATATATTTCTTCAGCCAGTTCATTAAATTAATTTGTAAGCAGTGGCTCTGAAATTATATCCGATGAAAAATGGCCTCAAAATTTAAATGGTACAAACTCATCTTATTAGAGGCAAAACATTAAAAAACAAACACATCCCCCCCCCACCCCCCAGCCTGGCTTTAATTTCTCTGGGTGGGGGAATGGGAGGCGTGTGATAGATGGCCCTTACCTTATTCATAAGCGAGGATAAAAGAGATGAATTTGCCGGGACTGCATGGCCATTTGATTCATTACTGGAACACACAAACCAAGGGGCTATGGTTCAGACATCTGCTGGACTCAACCCTGGTTCACTTTCCCAACTATCCCTGGGGCTCTGTACCCTCAGCTGTACCTGCTTGTGCAAGAGGGCTGACCCTACATATACCCTCTGACTCTGTGGGGTCGGCCCCAGAGTGGTTCTCAGGCCTCAACTGGGGCCCCACCAAGAAGCCCCTTAGCCTCACCTGGGCTCCTTCACAGTCAGGTCTTGGGAGGCGTCATGGGGGCCCGGGACACCAGCACTCTCACCGGATTCCTGCTTCACCTGGGCTGGGGGGAACCTGGCGGGGGTGGCCTGCTGTCCGTTTCCTATAGGGGTAGATCAAGGAAACTGGCGTCAGAGGGTTGAGGGTGCCATGTGGGCACCAACTAAAGCCCGCCGGAGGGGGCAGTGGGCCGAGCAGGCCAGGGCCCCCCAGGGGAGGCCAGGCTGCTGCTCAGCGACTCTCCCCCACTGACGTGATCGCTTGTGACGCTTACCCCTGTGTGGCAATTCTTCAAGTGATAATTATTGCAAAATTATGTCAAAGTTGTCCTGGCTCAGGGCCTCCTGGAGGAGAAGGGCGGGAGGCTGGGGAGGGGGCTGGGGCGGGGGGGGGGGCCCTTCATTTTCTCCACCAACTGTCATAGTCAATTTGTGGGGCTGCCGCTTAGGCTTTTATTAAAGACTCTGTTAATGCTGAGGGAAAGTGGCAGATCTAGACTGGGAGCTGCGCCCCCTCTGCAGGTCCCCATCCCACTGTTGCCGGGGCGACGGCCCTGCCTTCCACTGAGCATGCCCAGGAGGAGCATCTGCTGTGTCAGGGCTATCGAAGCTGACAGCCAATCAGAGCGGTTCAAACTATGTGACCTCGCCCGTCAAGCTGTCCAGGCTGGGCTGGGCTGCGAGGCCACCCTGGCGCTGTCCGGCCAGGCGTGCGCTGGGGAGGGCGAGGCTGGAGCTGGGCGGGAAGAGGGCATCGAGGCAAAGCCACACAGGGGCCAAAGAAGTTGCTGACAGGAACATGTCCACAGAGCCTTTCTCCACAATCCCCAAGTGACTGAAATATTAATTTGCCCCAAGGCGCTAAAGCTGACAGAGAGCTGTTTCACAGACAGCAAGTGGCATTTTATTAAAAAATAAAGGAAGACGGCCTCCTCCTCTTTGCTTGACCTTTCTTGTGGGAGAAGGAGATTTTTCTGGCGAAAAAGAAAGTGCTCTACAGGCTGGTCAGAGTGAAGGGAAGAGCAAGGCTCTGGAGCGAGTCCTGGACCTGCCTAAGGGGAGCCTGGCCAGAGGGGCTGGCTGGGCAGGGAGGGAGGGCATGCCCCAGTGGGATGGAGTTTCGAGAACTCATTTCAGTAGCTGCCTGAAGTCACCTTCCCAAGGTCCTGGGAGCTGTGGCTCAGGCACCCTGTCTAACCCCAGTAAACCTCTGGGAAGACTGGGGTGAAAGACTCCCCGTCTTAGCTGGTTCTGAGACAGTCTTACTCAGGAGTGGTATGCTTGGGTTTCGTAGCCAGACAGCTGAGGTTTCAATCTTCCATCACCTTCTCCCTAGGTGATGGCAATTGACTGCCTCTCCATTACTCCCTCAGCTCCACAGGGTGGGCATCTGTCTTCATTCCTGCCATCCCTGTACACCAAGCTCTGAGCGAGCATCCGTACTGCTGTGTTAGAGGCGAGGTGCCACCCCCAGGCGAGCTCAGTTCACCTCCACAATCCCCCCAAGACTTACCCCCAAGATGAGAAGATGGGGAGAGGAGCAAAGGGTCTGTAAAAGGCAGGAAAACCCAAAGGGGAAAATGAAAGGAAAACTTAAGGAAGTAGAGAGGCAGAGAAGAGAAGAGAGAGAACAGAGTGAGCCAGAAGCAGGACAGGGTGTGAACTGGGGCCCTGGCTCTGCAGGAGCCAATCAGTAGCCACTGACTTGGGTGTGTGGCTGCTTAAATGTAAACTAATTACAATCAGCGTGCAGCCCCTCAGTCTTACTGGCCCCTTTCAGATGCTTAAGAGCCACCAGAGACCAGTGGCCTCTGGACTGGACACAGCAGGGTAGAGTGTCTCCATCACTACAGGAAGATCAGACAGCACTGATATCCGGGTCTGGCAGGGAAAGGGCCGCTCAGCTTTGAGGGGCTGGACCCTCTCAGGCTCGAGTATCTCTGAGGCACAGCCTCCCTTGTCTCCGGAAAAGCCTCTTGTCCTCTTCCAGGCCTTCTGCTTGGGAGCCCTGCTGGGGCTGTTCCCCAATAGGGACTGGACTTGGAGGTAGGCAAGAAGACAGAAGAGGGCGGGTGCTTCCCCGGGCTGTGGGGGCACCCCAAGAGGTAGGGAGTACTGCCCCAATTTTATAGACAAGGAAGCATGCAGTGGATCCCTAGACAGAACAGGACAAGGGATCTAAACAGGAAATAAACAGGATGGAGGCTGAAAACAGGCCCAGAGGGATGGCCTCAGGAGGTGAGGGATACAGAGAGATGCCTCTTTCGAACATGCCCCCCTCTGCTCTGCAAACTGAGGCCAGGGAGCTGGCCGGGTTTTCATGATGCTGCCTCCCAGGCAAGGCCCAGCCTGCTCACCTGGGTCAAAGGTGGCGGGGGGCTTGAGAGCGGCCGCGGCTAGTCTGGCCATCATGGGCGAGATGAGGCCCTTGCTGGCGGAGATCCTCTCCATGATGGAGGCGGGGGGTGCTGGGACGGAGGCAGTGGTCGCCGGGGCAGCGTCACCAGCTCCTGAACTAGCCAGTGCGGGTGTGTCAGGAGTGACCGAGGCGGCAGCCCCAGAGGACATGGCACCCATGAGGCCAGATGCAGCCACAGGTAGGGAGGTGCTCCCACGGCCAGGAAGGAGTGGAAAGAAGGGTGCAGAGGTGGGGAGGCCCGAGTTGGAGAGGGCCAGGGCCAGAGGGATGGAGCCAGGCAGGCCCTGTGACAGCAGCCCAGACATTTTGCTGTTGGGAGGTTTGGTGGCAGCACTGGGCACTGCCTCTGTGGTGGCCGCGGCAGCCAGGGAGGCGGAGGACTGCTGGCTGGTGGGGGAGGCGCTCAGGCTGGAGTTCTTGCTGCTCAAGGCAGAGAAGTCAATGAGGTCGTCGTTGCTGGACTCCTCCTGCTCTGTGTCCTTGGTGCCCAGCAGTGATGGGGGCAGCCCCAGCACGCCCGAGGCCCGGATGTGCCGGCGTTCATGCTTGCGCTTGTGCGAGGTCATCTGGCTGGTGGAGGTGAAGGTGAAGCCGCAGCCGGCGCGGATGCAGTGGAAGTGGTTGGTGGCCTTGCTGTACACGCAGCCCTCGTACTTGCACTCCTCGTACTTGTAGAACTTCTTGAAGCCGTCCTTGGCATAGGCGTCGTCCTTGATGTGGTAGCTCTTGTGCTTCTCAATGTCGCACTTGTTCTTGAAGGTGAACGTGCAGCCGGGGCGCCTAGAATGGGACATTGGGAACCTGTTAAGGCCTCATGGGGCCAGGAGGAAGTCCTGCCCTGTCCCCGCCCACAGACACAACTTGGACACCAGGGCCTCTGAGCAGCCCTCAAGTTCTGCTCCTGCACATCCCAAGGAGGAGGAGGGCCCTGAGATGGTGAACCCCTGGCTCCCGCCTCCTGCCTGCCCAGAGGCGCTCCCGCGGGGCCTGCACCTGCAGTGGAAGTGCGTGGTCTTCTGTCCGTAGAACTGGCAGTCAGCTGTGCCGCAGTCCTCCGTGGCCCGGAAGCGCTGGAAGCCGTCGTTGATGAGCTGGGTGTTCTTCTTGTGGAAGTTCTCGTGGGTCATCACGTCGGACGTGCTGGTGTACACCTTGTTACATCCCACCTGCAGGGGCCAGACGGCTCTCAGGCTAACCAAGCGCAGGCACACCTAGGCCATGGGGCCTCAAACCACTGACCTCTTTGCTTAGGGAGCTTCAACAGCTCAAATGAGGGTGGGAGGGATCCTGATCAATACAGGAAGTCAGAAGCTTCTAAGGACCCTCAGGCTCTCCAGGAAGCAACAGAGAGCAAGCTGGACATTTGACAGGTGTCACTGAGAACCCTGGAGGCCTGAGTGAAGGTACGAGAGCCCCAAGAACTGAGGAGTCCCTAACTGTGACGCTATCTCTAAAGCCCCCATAGGGTGAGCAGGGACTGGACCCCAGAGGCCAGGAGTCACCTACAGCACAGAAGTGTACTTGGTGGCTCTGTGGATGGATCCTGGGCACTGGGCCCTCCCCACCCCACCTCGCACAGGCTAGGGCAGGCAACGTTGCCATATTGAGTAAAAAACAGTGGAATCTGAAAACTCCTGAGGGGCTGGGCCATGCCAGTGTCTGCACCATCTCAGAGCCCACACGGGAGCCCCCCTCTCCTCGTGGCCCAGGTTGTTTCAAAGAGGCCATAACAACCCCTGACAAATACCGGGGGGCGGGGGGGCAGCGGCTGCTATTTGCAACCCAAAGTTGTTCTCCCTGGGCCTGACACCTTGAAAAAGCCCAGACTCTGCCCGGCATTAAAACGAAGAATTAAACAAAAACCTCCTCAGGAATCATGTGCAATGCTGCTCTTGGTGTTAAAGCCTAAAAAACGTCCGTCTGTATAAACAGTTCACGGAATTTCGCCCGCACCAAGTATGGCCACGGGGAAGGCCCCACCCGGGCCCACCAGAGCAGCCTTGGCCTGAGCCCCCCGGACTTTCTCCTCCGGCCTCAGCCGAGCCTGTCGTGGCATCGGGGGCCAGACGGAGCTGCCCACCTGCATGCAGTGGTAGTGGGTGCTCTTCCCGTTGAGGTGGCAGCCCTGGTAATAGACGCTGCAGTCGTCCAAGGGGCTGAAGCGCATGAAGCCGTGCTGCAGGGAGTTGTCACGCTTCTTGTGCATGTTGTAGTGCCGGATCACGTCCTGCTTACTGGTGAACCTCTGCCGGAAGAGGGCAGTTGGCAGACGGCTGGGCCGCAGAGATCCAAGAGCACCGGGCCCCAGGACTCTCAGCCTTCCCATAGATAATCCTGCTCGAGACTCAGGTAGCCCCAAAGTCAGCCTGGCACACTGGTGGGATGATTCCAAAGGTTCATACCTGCAGACCCTCCCTGCCTCCCTCCCAAGTGCGAGATGGCTGTGCCCAGGAGCAAGGCTACTGAGTCAGGCCACGTCTTGGAGGGAGGGCCTCCGAGGCAGGGTCCCCCTAATGAGACAAGAGACCACTACCTGTGCAGACTGCTAGCACCCCCATCTCAAATCACAAGCTACCTGAACCTCAGTATTATCATCTACATGATGGGGCATCAACAGCAACCTGAAAGGTCACCAGAAAGAGAAATGAGACAGGTCTATGGCACCGTGTTGGGTACCTGGTGGACTTTCGGTGAATGAGATTTGAACCATGACCACCTGGATACTGCCCAGCTGCCTCTGTGGACAGGAATTAGGGAACAAAGGCAGCCTGCTAGTTTTCTGGGCTCCCCGTTTGCCCAAGTTATGATCAGGAGGCCCAAGGCGGCTTGATTCCCACTGTCTACTTCTAGGGCGAGCCTGTGCCCGGCTGGCTGGTCTGAGGACCGTACCTGGTAGTTGCACTCGGGGTCCAGACAGTGGTAGTGCTCGCGGTACTGATAGGCACAGTGGATGTGGCCGCAGTGCTGACTGCCTGAGAACCTGCAGAGGGAAGGCTGGGTCAGGCCTCTTCCCAGGGCCCGCGGTCACTGGAACCCAGGGGGCACGAGCCCTGCGTGTGGACACTGAGGGGCCCAGGCGAGGGAGGGAGAAGCAGTGGGTTCCCCAGGACCAAGAATGCCAGAGGGTGACAGGCCTGTAAGGAATCCTGGGCCCACTGGGGGTCTGCTCTAGAAGTGGGTGAGAGGTAAGGCAGAGGGGTCCTTACATCACAAGGGGAGAGTAAGAAGCTGAGGCCAGCTCAAAGCCTGAAGAGAAAGACAAGGAGATGTCGGATGGGGCCATCAGGGGCTCTGGAGTGGCCCAACCACTTTTTCAACAGGTTGACACTTGCCCCAGTGACCCCCTCCCAAGGTCTGGGCAGGTGCTAAGACTTGGCTGGGTCGGCCCTGAGGCTCTACTGCTGAAAGGTGTTAAAGGGCTCTCTTTGTCCTGGGCTTTTCCTGACACTTGAAACAGTCCAGAGTTATGAATTTTTAAAGCCCAGCATCTGTTTGGCTGCCCGCAGCAAGGAGCTCGCTCTCCCAGCCAACTCCGCAGTCAGGAAACCCAGCCGGCCAGGCCGCTGTGTGCTGCCCAGAAAACCCCTCTGCTCTCTGCCCTGGTCCTGCCAGGATGTGGCTCTCACAGCCCCCGGGGTTGCCGGCCCGAGGAGGCGGCCGGGGCAAGCACACCCCGACAGCTGTAGGAGGATATGGGCTCTGCCTGCTTGCTCAGAATCGCAGGAGAGAGCAAGAGAAACCCCGGTTATAAGGGGGTGAGCCAATCGCAAGTAAATATTTGAGCTGAATCTGCCAAAAGGGCCATCTGTCGAAGCACTAATAATAATGATAATAATAATAATAAGGAGAAGATGAACAGCAAGGCTGAAAGATGGGGATGAGGACGGGAAAGACAGAGGAGGAGGGGGATGGCGAAGACCTGAGGATCAGAACAGGACAGACTCCAGGACACTGTCCAGGCCCGAGCTGCCCAGGCAGGCGCCTGCAGATGCCTGAGTCTAGACGCCCACCCTGCCACATTAAGGGTGTAAGGGTAGGGTGGGCGTCAGGCTGAGGTCAGGGTCTCACCCTGAGGGGCGCCCTGGGCTGGATCTGGGAGGAGGCCCTTGGAAGTCCTGCTACATCCTTCCAATCACTGCATGGGGGGGTGGCACACACCGCAGCCCACGTCAGGCTCACCTGAGGCTAGCCCTCCCGTCAGACCCCTCTTCATGACTGTCTGGTGTACAAGCTGCTCACGGGCCCTGTGTCATGGACCACCCCAAGCAGGAGGCTCTGAGGTGGGGACGGAGGCAGGCACCTTGGCGCTAACAGTCAGATCAGACTGATGGCGGGTCCAGCAGCCCCCAGGCATTCCTGGCTCCCTTTCCCACCCTACCTTCTCTTCACAGCAGGCTCCTCCCCCAGGGGCCTACCTGGCAATATATTTCTGGTAAATGTTTACATCTTCGGTGACAGCTGGTTTATCTGTGGGCAATCCGTTCCTGGCGAGAGACACACAGGGCACAGCCGATTAGCGGACAGGGGGTGGCCTCATGCCCCAGGAGCATCTGGCAGGGCCAGCTCCCTGCCCTGGGGCCCTGGCCCTTCTCGCCTTCGCTGTGTCATTCGAGGCACTCAGGTTTGTGCTGACCAAGTCCCTGGGCAGCAGCCTGGCACAGTTCCAACTAGTCCAGTTCTGACAAGGGCAGGAACATTGCGAGGTGGCAGAGCAGGTGCCCAGGCTCCAGCTCCGCCCTGGCCTGGGCTGGAGCGGAGGAGGAGGGCCTTGGAGGCCGAGGCCTGCCCACCCTGTGCACAGGGCAGGCAGGGGCATCTGGCTGAGCAGAGAGCTATGGCGAGGGGCAGACAACATCAAGCCCATTGCCTGGATGTGGGTAAAGCGGCCATGCCCTCAGGTTAGAGGGCACACCTGGTGGCCCCACATCTGCTCAACCAGTTTATACTCCTCCATCCAGGATCTGGGGGCTCCTGTACTGGTGAAATGCAGGAGTTCATATCAGAAAAGGGTTTCACTCGGCCCCACACAATCACACAATTTACCCCATGGTTAGGGGAGAAATAGCACACCCACCTGTGGCCCCTCAGCCCAGATTCTGAGCCCAGGAACCCTGGCCACCAGCGTGGACCCTAGGACCCCACTCTGGGAGTGGCACATTTTTAGCCAAACAGCAGGCAAGGGATGCCTACCGTGGCCAAATGTGGACCACAGCGGTTCAGTGTGTGTGCGGCTGGCAAATGTGTGTCTGCACAAATCCCTGAGTGTGTAAGCACATGGACAGAAGACGGACAGCGTGTGGGAACATGAGTGCAAGGGTGTCACTGTCAGCTGGTGTATGTGTGACTGTAGATCAGGACATGTGTGGACAAGGGAGTGTGCTTGGGTGAGTGTGGGTGTGCGGGAATCAGCGTGCGTGTCCACTCAAGTGCCTAAGTGAATGAGCACACATGCGCGCGTATGTGTGTGTGTGTGTCCACAGTATGAGCTCCAAGGTCCGGAAGTGACCTTCCATTTACTCTAGCCCCAGGGCAGAGAGGCAGGGGGCCTGGGGGACACCTTACTTGACAGTGGAGACGGTCCCCGTGGTGATGGAGTCTGTTTTGGAGAAGGTTGACTTCAGGTACTCGGATGTGTTGAAGGGCAGGGAGGCAGCTGGCTCAGGTGCAGGCCCGGGGGCGCTGGGGGCGCTGGGTGCACTGACGAGGGGCGCAGGAGTCAGGCTGGGAGCAGGTGGAACCTTGGCTGGGCCCAGCTTCTGGACTCCTCGGACGTCGTACTTGGAGGGGCGCCCCACCTTGCCCGTCTTGAAAGCGATGGCGCCACCCATGTCAGGACTCCCCTCTCCAGGCTTAAAGAGGTGTAGGTACTTGACGTTCTCCAGGTCGTACTTGGACGGCTTCTTGTAGGTGCTCCCGTTCTGGGGTCGCAGGCTCTCCCCCGTCTTCAGCTTCTGGATGAAGAAGTCGTACTTGGAGGCACGGGCCACAAGGCCCTGCATCTGGGCGCTGCTGTGGGATGGCAGGGGCAGGATGGTGGCCTTGGTCTCCAAGTGGGTTGTGCTGCTGGGCAGCCGCAGGCCAGGCAAGGGGCCCAACACCTCCTTGCCCGTCCGCTCCTCGGCCTTGGTGCCATGTGCTGGCCAGGAGAGCTGCTCGCCGGCCTTGAGCTTGCGGATGTACTCCTCGTACTTGGAGAAGCGTGCCCGCTTGCTGAGGGCGTCCTCCGAGGGGGGCAGCGCGGAGGCGGCGGCCCCCTCCGGGGTGGAGCCCGCGTGCAGCTTCTCGAAGCTGATCTTCCTGGCCAGCTCGTCCCGGGTGTTCTGGTCGTCATACCCGAACATGCCGAGGAACTCCGTCATGGTGGAGGCCGCGTAGTCCCGCAGCGAGGAGGCCTCTCCTAGAGCGGGGCGGAGCAGGGCGGTCACCTCAGCGAGGGGCAGCAGAGGGACAGGACCCCTTCCCACTGTGAGCCCCCACCCCAGGGGGAGGGGGCCTGCCAGAGGAGGGGCGGAGCGCGACGTGATCTATGGACATTTGGCTCACTTGTTAGGTTTTACGACTCTTAAATTAATTTGTTTTAAAAAAAAGTAATTAATACTGGGGTAAAATAAAACGAGTTCATCAATGCCAGGAAAATCAATTTCCTAAATGTTCTGGCCGATGGCTTTTCAGTACATTAAACAAAGTTTCATAAATGTCTCCGCTCTCTCGCCTTGGCCTAATATGAAAGAGAAGTCATTTTACTGGAAGTAAGGCCCCGGGTGGGGCATGAACAGGGGTACAAGGACAGGTAGGATGGGGCTGAGTGCTGGGAGGGGCCAGGGAGGGCTGGCAAAGAGGCTCTGGGTCAGGCATGGATTGCTGGCGGCTCTTTCTTGACCCCTTCACACAGACACGTGGGTCCTTGTCCTTGGGAGGAGAGCTGGTTCCTCCAAGACTGTTCCCCAGGGAGTTTAGGGTCCCTGACATGGGGCTAGGAAGAGGGAGGCACCAGCAAGCTCAGATTTAGTTAGGGTCCTCCACTCCCGACAAAAATCAATGATGGAGAAGAATCCTTCACCCCTCTCTACTCTCCTCTCCAGTCCCGTCTGAATGGGACTCGGAGTGGGCTCGGATGGACAGAGGTCCAAGTGTGGTCCACCCATCCTTCCCCACCTGTCTCCAAAGAAAGCCACCCTAAGATTCCGGGAGCAGTGACACTGCTACACACACATAGTCTCTCTCTCTCTCTCTCTCACACACACACACACACACACACACACACACACACACACTCTCTCTCTCTCTCTCTCTCTCTCTCTCTCTTCACTATTCCCATGTACAACTCACATCCCAGCTACTCTTGTAATTATTATACACACACACATACACACACACACTCCACTACTCCCGCATACAGCTCACATCCCAGCTACTGTCTTGACACACACACACACTCTTCACTATTCCCATGTACAGCTCACATCCCAGCTACTCTTGTAATTATTACACACACACACACACACACACACACACACACACACACACACACACACACTCCACCACTCCCACACGCTCACAGCTCAAATCCCGAGCTCCTCTCCTAACTGCACACACACTCACACCATGTCAAACTCCACACATCCAGTTTCCAAGTCAACACCTCCGGACAGGGATGGTGAGACCATCCATGCTCTCCAGGGTGTCTCTACAGAACACCTCCTTCCCCGGACAACTTGACACTCTGCAGGCAGGTGACTCCCACCCAGCACACACAAGCACTCACTCCTTCACAAACACTCAGCAAACACCTACTATGTGCGCTGCCCTGAGCCAGGGCTGGATGCACACAGGAGACGAGACACGATTGTTCTTTCCACTTTCATGAGAGTAAACGTCCTTGGGCATGTCAGAATGGCAGGACCCCAGGCTGGGGTTCCTGAGAGCACAAAAAAGGCAGGCAGACATGGTGGAAGAGAGGGTGGACGCAGGGTGCAAAGGCAAGGCTTTATCTGAACCCCACCCCAACCTGGCCAGGACCTCTTCTGGAGATGCCTGGATGAGCCAGGTCTGTGCTTGAGCAAGAGAGGAACCCAGAAGTTTGTGGAAAAGTGCTGAGCTCCTGTGGGGGCAGGGCGCTACGGGAACTAGGACCCTACTAGAGAGAAAAGGACGTCGAGGGTGGCCACCTGCTACCCAATGGGCAGTGACTTCCAGAGCTGATATAGCCAGCTCCCCTGGGCTGGGCCAATGGTGAGCCACTGTCCTGACCTCTAGCTGGCAGAGTTGGGGGCCCAGCCTGGGAGGAGTGGGCGCTGGCGGCTGCCTTCAGTGGCTCAGGGACCAGGGAAAAGGGCTAAAAATAGCTGGAGGCAGCTGAGCCCTCGCTATATATGGCAGAGAAACAGAAGGCTTTGAAGGACAAGCTGCTTAGCACGGGAGGGGTACAGGCAAGGGTCCCAGGCAGCCTGGGGGCCTGCATTCCTGAGCTGGAGGGGCCCCAGGGAAGGTGGTCTGTGGGCTGCGCCCACAGTGGGCAGCTGGAGCACCAGTCACACTGTGCAGTGCCCAGGGCAGGTGTCCCCATGTCCTGGACTGTCATGTGTCTGCCCCACTCAGCTTCCAACCAGAGGGGTGAGGCCAGAGCCACGAGGCTGGAGGATCAGGCCCCACCTCCTGCCCTCTCAGCTCGCCACCATCCAGAAAGGGCGGTGGGGGTGGCAGCCAAGGCCCATTCGACTCCTGTGGGTGTGGGCAGGGTGCAAAGGGACAGCAGCCCTGATCCCTGCCCCTCTCCTCTCCTCGGGCCCAGCACAATCACCTTGTGTCTGGGAACGGCAAGGGCTTTTCCTATCAGAGGAAACTGAAGGTCACACTTTTCCTCATTGATCTTGCAATGTTTGTTAATTACTCTGTCACTGATGTGGCGAAGGATAATTAAACAGCTCTGTTTATATCTTATATGCATAATTATGTGGCTGCGCAGGGCTCTCCGCGCAGGGAGATGTGCCCCTCGCTGCAGGGGGAAGGGGACCAGGGGGGCGCGGGCAGGGGAGGCTCAGAGCCCAGGAAGGAGGCAAGGGGCTACAGAAAAGCCCTCAGGTCCTGGGGTTCCAGTCCTATTGGGGACCCTCTACCAGCTGAAACCCTAAGCCCTCCCACTCTTGGAGCAGAAGGTACGTAGGGCAGTTCTGAGACCTGAGGACGCGGCTCCTGGAAAGCGAGCTCAGCCAGCTCGTGGGAAAGAAGAGGTCAGCCAGAGGAGCACGCTGGGCAGGTGGGTGTAATGTGATCCGCTGGCTGGGCACGGCCAGGCCATCCTCGTGGCCTCACCCACCGCTCTGTGCTGGTGACCCTGCCTGACAGAGCCAGTGAAAGACAAGGCAAAAGCGAGAAGACAGTGGTGGCAGCTTTGGAAGAAGACCAGGGAT